CAAATTAAAATTACAAACCGTCTCCTCAACAGCTACCGTAGAACTCTGCATTCTCTTGAAAGTGGTCTAAGTTACGGAGCTCTGGAGCAGCCGCTGGTGTGAGTTTATCAGGTGTCAGATGAGATATTGATACGACAGTGACAGAGGAGGAAAGTAGGGGAAAGGCTGTCGGCAGAGTTAGAAGTAAAGAGAGAAGTCATGTGCAGCAGCAGCAGCAGCAAACAAGATGTGTTTTATGTAAGCTGAGTGACACGTTGTGGGTTTTACAGTGTAAATACACAAGAACTTACACAAAACCCGTATAGATGAAGGAAAATAAGCAGAGAAACGTGCTGACACAGAGAGACAGTCTGTGTGTGAGCTGCAGGGCTTCAGTCTGCAGGAACCAAAACACGCCGACGTGTAAATAACTAAAACTGGTTCAAACTTCTCAAACATAACAGTAAATGTTTTTTAGGGGGGCGAACTGTCAGTGAGCATTTTGTTAGATGTTACACAACAGTTGGCACAACAGGAAGTCACAGCGCCAAAGCCCTCACGTCTGCAGAGCCTCGTAAAACACAGGAATAACAAGGAAGGATGTGTGCAAAGCAAAGCTGCGTGCAAGGAACTGCATTCTCTGACAATCTGCTTTGCATGCAGACAAAAATATGAAAATGCACACTTGCATACGTGTGAGTGTTCGTACGCTGATGCACACACACACTTGTATAGAAACGTACCTGTGACGTACCAATGAGGCGATGTACAAATGTGACACTTTTCAAATATCATGTGACCCGTTACTCCTTTTACAGATGTATGATGTATAACCGCTCATTGCACCCACAGGCATTCTGCAAGCCGGAGTCCAACCCAGAGGCCTTTTGTTGTGAAGTGGCTCACGAAGGCACCGTGCACTGTGCACGTTGTGTATCTTATCCACTGACCTGTTCCTAGAAGAGATAAAGCTGCTGTTTAAAGAAAAAATGAATGTGTCAGGTTTGACTCACTGACGACGAGAGTTACTTTTTAAATTAAGTAAAACATTTGCTTCATACCATAAAGATTAGACAGATAAGTTACACAGAAAAGAAACTTTATTTTTACAGGTGAGTGCAAGAGAGTACGCTGCTATAGGTCACAACTCATATAAGCTCCTGTTTACTGTTAAAGATAAAAGTGGGTCATTAGGCCCCGAGCCATTCCACTGAACTATGTATGTCAGGACCTGACAACGACAGCTGAGAAAGGTGATCTATTCCTGACAAGACACTCCTTTCCTCAGAAATGCAAACAGGTGTGTCAAGAAACCGTTAATAGAAAGAAAGTCAAAAGCAAAAAGCAGAGTTAACAAAACATGAGAAGAAATAAATGCAGACACTCATCATATTTAATTCCAATTAAATGTATTAAATGTCAAAAGTGACGGCTCCTGAACAGGTGAAGGTGTTGATCTTCATAATTTACTAATCCATGAAAGTGCCCTTACATGTCACTAGTTTGCCCAGAGAATCAATCTCAGAGCAATCTGTGATTCCTCGTGACATAAATAATTCTTCAACAACTATAATGAGAGAATGTAGTATTTTAAATGGAGGGAATGAAAGTGTATCATTCCCAAACCGCTGACTCTTTCCAGCTTAGGCTCCCACAGTCTGGGTTATTCTCACAGACGCTCCCCTACGATACCGACAGGAAATCAGCAGCTCAGCGTTCCCGCTCTGCTCATATCGTGGCTCAACCAAAAAATGTGCCCGTCCAAACCGTGCAGGGATCTGAAACAACATTCTCAGGCTGAGGATTGTGATTAACAAAAGGAACAGTCTGAACAAAGACTGGGAGACTTTAAAAGGGGATGAACACATACAGGAAATACTGAGACAGTAAAGTTACCACTGTATGTTTTGTCTGTGCAAAGAGTGGGATACTTTTCCCAACATTATATAATTTGAATTACACTGATGAAAGTCATTGTGTTGATGCTGGAGAGGTGATGTCAGCGCTTCTGTCTCATAAGAGAAGCCTTAATTATTATTGTGTTACAGTAAATACCCTTTTATTCATTTGAAGTGTTAAATAAATAGAGACCTAGTCCAAGTGTAAAAATCACTGTGTTCAAAAGAATTAATTTGTGGGATAGGCCTATTTATAGCTGCACACTTTTTTTTTTCTTGGCACTTAAGAGATGACATCAGCTGGCAACAGTCATAAAGAAATATCCTGTGGGAGAGAAAAAAAAACAGTTGAGCCCATAAATAGAGAAACAAACAGCCTTCGAGTCAAGAGATAAGCAGCTTTTCAGTAAATCCTAATGAAAAGAACTCATGGGACATAAGGGAGAAAAAAATCAGAGTGAGATTAAGAGGCAGAACATGGCGTCCTACATCACTGACCTGCGAGGGTGAAGGGCTGATGGGAGCAACAGCTGGAAACCTATAAACGACATTTTAAATATTGCTTCATAGGATGGGACGTTTTTCTACGGAACCTAAAAAAGTGATTAAATCAAACAAACTTTCACGATCAGTAAAAACATAGAATAAGAAGAATTTAAAGAGTAGAGGTGAATCGTTTACAGGAGCTTTTATGGGGCAGCAGATAAAAAGAGATGCTGCTGATTGTGCTGCAGGGCGGGGGGGGTGTCTGGAGCTCAGAGACAGCATGTTCCCTGCTACCGACTGCACGTCTACACTCCCCGGGCAGAGGCCACCCCCGGAGTGTACCTCCATGTAGCACGTGCCCGAGCCAGCCACGTGCACGCTGCCATCTCCACGGCCTGGATGCTGAGATGTGACCTCATGTGGTCTGTGCACATCAGGAAGCTTGTGACTTGATTATTCTTGTACATTTTGTGTGTTAAATGAATCTGTGAAGGAAGTCTGAACCCGGTCTAACATGGGTGTGATGAATGAACAACACTTTGATGTGCCAGGTACACAAACTAAAATCTGACTCTGCAGGAGCTCTACCAAGATCTTGTCAGACGCTTTGAATATATTATGGATACACTTCGTCTGACCTACTTGGTTGAAGAGGTTAGGAAACCTAACATCTAAATTGAGGGATGGGCTGTGTGCGTCAGTGTCTACAACCAATCCAACCTATGGCCACAATGGTCAGTGATTAGTCAGGTGAAAAGAAACCCAGGTTTAAACTTCTCTTCATGACACTTTCTGTCACTGAGTGCAAAGCATCAATACCATCACCCTCACATCTGTGAAAGATATCACGTTCAGAGTTACTAACATGCACTGGTGGGATGTGAATGTGTATTGATGAAGAGGAAGAGGAAGAGAGAGGAGCTGAGGCCGGAGCGGTGGCCCCTGTAGAAGCTCTATGACTAAGTTTAGCATGTATGGAGGATTCATTCATCGTTGACATGTACTAACTGAAATCTTCTTCTTTGTTCGGTTTATTAGCGAGTGGCAACCAACGTCATGGTGCATTAGGTTTAGAGTTTATTGAAATCAAAGAGGTGAAGAAAAGTTAAACCAAACCAGCTTAATATGGGTCATTTAATATCGTTGTCACCGTCGATCAATGGAAGCACACTCACTTCTCAGTTATAGATTAGTTATATATCGAGTAAGCATGTAGCCTGTATGGCATATAGGTGACAATCATGAGTTCTCGCAGGACAATAAAATCAAAAATCCACAAAGCAAAGACTTTTTTATTCTTTATTTTATTTGACATAAAACACACAGGGTATTTTCACAGGTAGGAATGAATGTGTGGAACTTCATCGTCTGAACTTCTTCATCTACAGAACCTCACAAGACCACAAGGAATTCCTGGTGGGGTTCTAAAACTTCATCAGCCATTAAAAGTAGTTTGATTTTCAGTTTTAATATAAAACGAAGCTATTTCATAAACTGTACAGCCCATAGAACAAATCTGTATGCTTATGATTGACTTGAATCAGAACAAGCACCATTCAAAGCAATAATTAAACAATATCTCATGACTATATAACCTGTCTAGAAAAACAGAGGAGCAACAAGGCGCCCATTGCCACACGCTATAAAGGTTTCTTCATGCAGACACAAGTTCAACGTATTTATGATAATTGTGAAGCGGTGACTGGAAAATTACAACTGACTTCCACAGTCCTGTTTGTGTCTTTTGCTCACACCTGCAGCTCCCACCCATTCCGGACATTCTTCAGTATCAAGCTCCAGGGCCCTTCACGAACGGCATCTACAAACCTTTACTTCATTTTGACCGAGTGCATCCATACGCTCCTTTGTGATAATTGATTTGATGTTGGCACAAACTAAAATAAAGGGAGGAGGAGCCCAGAATAATGATCCTCTCCTCACCCACACTCCCCACCAATGGCCTTATCTGCCCCCTTTTGCCTCTGTGGCTCAGAACCAGGCTGACGCATCACCGCTCAGCCAATAGGCGCTCTTCGTTAAAGGGTTGTGTCCTGTTTCTAGCATCACTGAGATACCAAAGTGATATCTTCGTCCAGTGATGTGCAAGGGGGAGGGGAGAGGCAGGGCGGCGGGGAGGAGCTTGCGGCATGGGCAAGGGGGGGGGCACGTGGCGTCCCAACGAGGTCTCAGCCTGTCACAGAGCATCACATCAGCCTGGGAGCAGGCATGTGCGAAACTCCAGGATGGGAGAACGTGCAGAGAAGCCATCGCCAATCCACCTCAAACAATGTCCGTGTAGCAGGGGAAGATGCGAATCAGGTGCTAAATCAGTTTCGTTAGATCCAAATCCTGTTTCTCCAAACTTACTGATGTATTCATATTATAAAAACGTACAAATATTCTTACATACCATCTTCTCAACAAACTGTTTCCATCCAGAAACACCACATTATGGCTTATTCACAAACCAGGCAACCAAAACTGCCCCAGGTCACTTCCAACATATTTCTTTAAAAATGTGGAGCATTTTGGATTCACCTAAAAAAAAGTCCTCTAAGGTCCTTTCCAATAACCCTTCCATCGTCGACACGGAACGAAAAACGTTTTAAAGAAAAAGCCCCTCTCTGCTCTTGATGCCATTTATGCTCAAACGCTTTTAGTGCGTGAGCGTCACATTCATTGGCACGCAAAGGAAGAACACAACATGTGTGAAAGCCTGAGGACTTCCTGTTGCGTGCAGATTATTGACTGACGCTGCAGCTTCGAGTGGCTACTTCAGGAAAGCTCAGACTTAATTCATTTTCTGTGCAAATAACAACAGTCTAAGTTTTGGATTACTTTAGTTCTCAAATAGCTCAGTCAACGCGACTAAACATCCACCGTACAGCTCAATTCAAAAAATTCACAGCTTTATTAAATCATTACAAAATAAGGTTATACATTCATTCATCAATAAAAACAGAGACTCATGAATTTTGTTTTGATTAAAAGTCAGCACACCCATGCAATGTTCAGTAAAGATAAATGTTCGCATGTATTTGATACAGCAGGAACCAGGGTGCTTATCAAGGTAGTCACACACTTATTATTTCTAGGACTTAACTCGATTAATGTTAAGCAGCGTGAAATCGCAGAAGAAAAAAAAACACACCAAAAAATAAGGTAGTGGATATTTTAAGTCCCTTTGCGGATCTGTTGAAGTATTTTAAACATGTCGGAAGTTTTGTGCAAATGTTCTCTCAATCTTACAGATATATTTCACAAGTATATATGTGTATGTATATATTCACAGTATGAGAGTACTACTCCTTCTCTGTTCACAGGCGCTGCAAGGTTCTCTTGTGAAGGCAAAGAAAAAAAAAAATGAAAATCTAAACGGGTTGAGCTAAAGTTTTATCCCCTTTAACCATTGTCCTCAACCTGCCAACACGTCAATACAAAGGTGCATCTCAATTGCAGTGTGCTTTCCCTTAAAGAGCATTACTGTTCATGTTATTCAACTGTATTTGGCCGAGCTTTGAGCACTGGCACAATTCACTCTTGTGCAAGAGCTCACCCTTCTGATTTGTTGCTTAGAACAGTATTGACAGCAGCGTGCAAGCATGTACCTTTGTGACGGGTCGGACTCTGTTGGCAGGCAGCTGGGTTATTTTGATCCCCCACCCAAACCAGGCCAGAAAACCAATCCTAACCACGACCCCCCCCCAAAGTGAGCCACAAATCCCTCCAGGCCCCGACAATGGAATATATAGAAAACGCTAAAAAGTGTTGGTAAGTGAGGGATACTGGAAATTCAATGTCTGAGTGTGACTATGACTGTGAGGTGAGAAAAGTGCGGTCCTGAAGGACACTGCTGTGCCTTCCTGCTTCCTCGCTCCATCTCCTTCACTCCTCATTGGCTCGTCCATTTACTATTTCAACAATCGATCCAAGTGTAGTCAAGTCTCCTCAGGGCGCTGGCTGGGCCTGGACCTTTTCCATCATCTGTTTGGCACTGTAGTAGGACAAACTCAGGCCCATGATGGCCAGCATCATGGCGATCTGGTTCACAGCACGGTCCTGCGGCTGCATCTGCACCTCGCCGGCAACTTGCCTCTGCAGAGACAAAGACAAACAGGACAAAGGTCAGAGGTCAGCAAACAGGGTAAACGTTTCAGAGCGTTGTTCCATTGTTTCAACCACGAACGGACAAAAATGTAAAAGCAAATTTTCACAGAATAGCTAAGAGGCTTCTCCCTTAAAAAGCCCTGACATCACCAACTTCAGTTCCACGGCCCTCTGCCATGTGATTAAACATTTAGGAGGGGGGGGGGTGCAGCAGAAGGAGAACACAATGTTCTGAGCACAAAGTATAAAGAGCAAACCATCAACCCAGAATCAAACCGTGTGCGTTTTAAAGAATGACGACGACTAATTGTACAGCTCCTTCTTGTTCTATATCAGCTGAAGGATCCACAACAGCTGCGCATACACCCCCATTCATTTATAGAAAGTATACAATACACACGTCAGATAAGACTTCTGGTGATACTGGTGGGACGAGCCATGGTTGATTAACCGTCAACAAAGAAGGTTTAGCACATTTCTCTCATCGGTCGAGGCCAGTTTAGCAAAATGTATAACGCAGGTCTAGATTTACATGGGCAGTGGCTACCTGTCCTTCCATAAAAAAATCTAAGGACAAATTATTCCTTGTTAACTCTAGGATCTGCTCACACCATTGAGAAAACATATTGTTCCACTGATGTCTGAGTCTTTGTCTCCCTGCTGAGTCAGCAATCATCCGAGTGATTTAAATTAGAGAAACTGTCGAACCAAACGTTTATATATTTGTATTAACTTAATTTAAATTAATTGAAAAGCTGCAGATGGTAGTAAAATCTCTACCAAAAAAAAACAAAAAAAAAAAACCTCTGTGGCAAAGCTAATATTCACGCAAGTGTCAAACCTTGCATAACAACCAGTCAACTTCTTTATGGTCCGTTACGCATTTGAGTCACTGTAAATCTATACATGGTGACAAGCCTTTGTTTTCGAATTAAAGTAAATATGTGAACAAAAACTTTACACAATGGACGAGGCCTATGGAGGATCACGTCTAATGAGTGGATTATGAGGACAGCAGGAGGAACAAAGGAAACCGAGGAGGACAGGATATCGCAATGATTAGTGTCATCCCTAATTACACTGGTGATGAAAGTGGATTGTGGGTCGCAGAACGAACTGGGCCCCAGTTCAAATTAGAACTGAATGAAGACAAGTGCACAAGAAGAAAAACCTGCACACTTACTCCTATAGATGGTTTACTGGGTGGAGATTAAACATCTTTCACTTATTTCCCCCGTCAGAAACAATTCAAATCAAACATATCTCATCCACTTCACTCGTGCATTAAAGCATCTCAGGATGAAATTAGGTTCGTTGAGTATTTACTCTGTATTCATTTGTAAAAGGTGGTGAATCTGTACATACCTGGAGGAGACGGAAGTATCCAGGTGTCAGTCGGCCCAGTCTGATGATCATTTCTCCTGATTGGATGTGTGTCTGAGGGAAGATCTGGAGTGGCTCAAGACCTGCACAGAAGAAAATCAAGAGTTCAGTAGAATCCACAGAGAAATCCAACAATTAATTTAAAGGAATCAATGATCAGGTTTCCAACAAAGAAAGACAATAGGAAAACTAAAATTTCCCACCAGAGGGGACTGTTGCATAAACAAAATCTAATATCTGAACCTTTCTGGAGGAAGATCAATCTGGATCCCGGTTATGAGATAAGAAGGGTCTAACTTTTAATGAAAGTCTTGCTGCCAAAAAGGGAGGAAGACTGCTGCGGGCTGGCAAACACACCAATACCATCTGATCCATGCGTGAGGAGGGAACATCTCTTGCCTGAAGGCTTTGCACAAAACTTCCATGTGTGCAGATTCAATAGGATCACTATGCAAAGAAACAAAGTTTACATCTGGAATTCTTTAAGGTCCGACCCACTTGGCAGAGTTTCTTGTTTTTATGGATTCTGCAGAAAATTCCCCCACTTTTTATATAACGATCATATTTGAACTAGATCGGGTGAAGAGCAACAGAGCCTCTATTCATGCAGCATCACAGTCTGACAATTTCATCTATTTGCACATGGACAATTCCATGTGTAATTGATCAACAACATGTAACTGCATGATGCAGGCACAAGTTGAGAAAGAATACCACAGAGAAACTCCTGGATGGATCGATGTCAAACCATGAGTTAAGAACAAAATGTACCGAATTTGATATATTAATGCTACTAAGAATTCGAAATTGGTTCTTAACGCATTCCGGCAAGAGTCAATGAATCCTAAAAGATTGTGCACTAAGACACAAAACGCATTTGCTTCAACAACCACAATGTCATGGAAGCAGGGGCGTTGATCATTAAATCTGAGATTAGGGTTCCAAGGAAAGTGAGGTGTAGGGTTGAGGAGAAGGAAACACATGTGGGAAGCATTGATGAGCCAACCTGGTTGGAGTTACACCCCCCAACGAGAAAAAGAAATGCGATCCCAAGCTTTAAAGGTTGCTCCTCGGGTAAAAAGTCGGTCTTCACGGAAACCAGGGCTTGGAATCCCTCACCTCCCAAAGAAAGTCGGACCCAACTGGCCGCTTGGACCTTCTACTCCCCGGCCAGAATCCCAACAGATGCCAAACGCCGATGAACTTGAACTACAGAGAGAGCTTCTTTGCTGTGCTCCACCTTTTTATACAACCCTGCTCTTACCCAACCAGATCTGCGGTCTTGCCTACCAAACACACGCCCACTTTCAAACACATACACAATGCTGTCGAAAAGCATTACTCTCAGTGGGCTGGGTTACCGAACACGCCCCTCTCCGGCTCCTTCCAAAGCAAGAAATACACTTTGAGAGCTGCCGGGTATGATTTGCTCATAATTCTGTCGGTATAAGGTTAAAAGTAACGATACAAAACAATACAGCGTGGAGATGTGCTCTCAACAGAGCACGCATATCCTGTTGTGGTGTTACATAACCAGCCTGATGTTTCCTTTTAATCTCACACAGAACTGAAATGTCACGGACCTCAGGTCTGTCCATCAAGACCCAGATAAATATCCAAGATTAGAGACACAGGACAGTGGGTTCCCCCTTTTAGTTACATCTATTTTAGTTGCATTTCTTTTTGTTTTTTTAATCACTCCCGTGGCAGAGTGTGTTACATAATCTGTTTCTGTTTCAATGAACAAATAGTTGCAGTTAGCGACTGTCTGCATAATACATTAAGTTTTCATGCAGGAAACAGGAAACAATGAGAATTGGCATTGGGTCAAACTCAGCCACATAACTCATTACATACAAAGTAAGCTCGCTGGTGGACGTCTTTACAACACTATGATTATGAAATCACAGCTTAGTCTACGACGTAAGTAATCTGATACCTAAGTGGTCTTCGGTCTATTTTATGCTCGATAAAAAAGTGGTTACCCAAGGGCAGTGAAATTTTGTTTCAAGTGAGCTATTGTCTAACAAACCCTTAATGTGCCATGTTACTATAATTAGATCCAGTGATGTAGGCTTGTTTCCAACCAACAACTGTTTTAACCTCTTCCACCTTTCTCCTCCTTCAACTCAAACAAGAACTTGTAACTACTTCGCTGTTGTGCAAATGAACCCTCATCATCCTTTTACTTGTTTTCTTGAGACAAATATTTGAGTAATTGTAAGAATAGAAACTATCGCAGCAGCAGATGCACCTTTTATTTAAAAGGCGTTCACCTGTGCTTTCATCTTCCTCAGCTCATTAGTTGACTGTGCAGATTCCACAGATAGTTTGGCTCCGTTTGTAAATAGAACTTCTCCAGTGCAGTGTCAAGTATCATCTGCTGCTAACTAGTATAGCAGGGGTGTGTACACCGAGGGACAATTAAAGTTTTGTAAGGGCCAGACTGAATTATTGAACGCATGCAGAAAAATCTGACACATTAGTGTAAAGAAAGGACGACGATGCAGAGGTCATCAGAGGTCACTGCATAGTCCGCGGTCTTGGGAGAGCTGCATGTGGAGCACACAAACCCACTGAAGAGAGTTCACATCACCCAAGATCATTTTTCCATCCAGATATAGATGCTGCCATCTTGGGCCGTAATGAGACGTCACCGGAGCCAGAGTTTGTGAAGTCCTGATTGAGGTATCGAGGTCCTGCAGATACACAAACACTCGACCAATAACAAGTCAGTCTCGTATTTCAATCGTGACACTTCACCCTCTTTTGATAGCAAATTAATCAAAACCAAGCTCATCATGGACAAACATCCATGTGCAAAAAATACCAACAATGACAGAAACCTTCCTTGGGGGAAATGTATTGCTCGTGTACTTTGAGTCGAGACAATGTGAGTTTTTCACCAATTTTGTTTGAGTGACCATGAGCTGGTGGGATACACGTTCTGCACAAAGTTTATTTTAACTTGATCATGGGGTCTGAGGTGTTTGGAGTTGATCACAGACATATTCTCAGCAGCTGTTTAAAGATGTGTACACCGTGAGAAACTTTGCCGGCAGCTGATTCAGCTGATGAGTAGAGTTGGGTTGGGTTGGTTCACTACAAGATTGGGCATGAGTCCAGGTGAATCACCTGCCAACCATTCAAGTTTACCTGAGGTCTTATGTAAAAGCAAGCGGGCGTTTCCTAGCTATGTGGCATTTCTGGACACATTTCAAAACACTGCCTGCATAGAGATTCAATGAGTCAAGAACAGATGGAATCTGGGTTTGGACATTTAAGACTTGTGTGCTTCAAACTACAGCCTTTTAATTTCAAATCTAACCTTTTCTTTAGAGAGAGAAAAGTGATTGTTGTCTAACTTGTAAAAGGGAATCATCCCTTTTCACCTGGAGATGCTGAGCAGAATGCAATCAAAATAATAGGAGGATGGAAGGTCTGAAATAATCCATCTCTCCCACATAGACATTTAATTCTGAATGACATTGGTCTGTAATTGTATTTATTTTTAAAAGCAAAATGAGAATGAGCCTGTGAACATGTGTTGGGTACACTGTGTTCTCTACACCCATCAGCCAATCAGCTCCAGCTCCCTTGCTTCCTTGTTGGTCCTGCCCTCTCATGCCACCTCACTTCCCTCCGCAGCTCATCTGCCTCCAGCAAAGTAGATCTCATGTGAGAGTCTGCAGCACCGAGAGAGAGAATCTCCAGCCGGGCAACGGCATTTTAGGATTACATCATTATCATCCTCCTCAGTGGCACACATATGCTCACACGTCCATCTGGGCATTCTCCATGACTGAAGCATGTAGCTACACAGCTGTTGCCGTGGTTACTCTGTGTCACAGAGTAGTTTAGCTGCGCTCTCTATCGGCACAAGCTCTCACTGCAGCGCTGTCCCCGGGAACCACTGGTCACAAGGTCCGGACCCTATTTATCGTCTTTCTATAACCAAAACATTTTCACCAACACGTGGTGATGATACACACAAAACACATTCAGGATCATAAGAAAGTCTCACAACTACATAGAAAATGATACCAAGGCAACTGTTTGTTTTTAATGATGATTTTCATTACTGTTTACGTTCCCCTGGAGCCCGATGAGCCGTTCTATTGATCACATTTTTGGCAATTATGCTGCAGCCCTGTGAAAAAACACGCTGAAGTTCACTCTATGTATGTAACAAGCATAACTCAGGGGTTTGGTGTAGAATGAGGACAAATCAACTGCTGAAGCTAATTGAGGGACAAAGAGATCAAACCATTTTTTGTGTATTCCTGGCAGACGTGACAATGACGCTCAAGGTGTTGCCTCCATTTTGGGGCCCCAGCTGTGAAGAAGCCAACATGGCTGACGCACAGAAACAAAGAGAAAGTTTGGGGCAAGTAACATATTGAAGGAGGGTTTGTCAGCTGAAGCAGCCAGATCTCAAAAGTTGTTAACCATCATTAAAACCCAGCATTTCTCACTTACTGTTTCAAAGCCGATCAGCAACTGGGCTGAAACATGAATGTAAATCTACTGAAGGAGGGAGAAGTGTCCCAAAGAGACTCTAACTCCAAAATAAATGACGCAGATTACAACTGACCCAACAGAACAAGCAATGGAATGAGAAAATGATCATCCCTGACTTTTAATTTGATCAAAAACGCCTGTATGTGAATTAAAATACATAAAATATCAAAGAGCTTAGTACGCATCCAATTAAAGTCAAAATCCAATCTACATTCATCTGTAATCTTTCACCTTGAAGCTCTAACTGACTCATATCCCAGAAAACACAGTGTAAGGACAGGGGGTCAGTGTATTTTCTCCTGTTTGCCAGAGCACACAATGTACAGAAGACACAAGAGCAGGCCTGCACCCGGTGGCAGCACTGAGGAACTGCACCTCACAATAAAACAATGCTTTTAATCAGCGTTAACTGTGATGAAATTATACAAATAGAAACTACAGAGATCTTCACAATGACACTGAATGAAAAGCCACACTGGGAAAAAACCCATCCCAGGTTTAAAGCTACCAGTGTCATCTTGTTCTTTACATTTTCAAGGAACTCAAGAAAATAATATTTCTATCATTTCATGATTTTCAAATGTATTTAAAATGACTACAAATAGACATTGCCGGTATATTTCTACTCACAAAGTGTAGCCACAGCATTATACACCACAGTAAATAGTAATAAATGGCTAATTTTTCTATCTGGCTGTGTTTTAGGACATTTTGTCCTTTAAACTCTAACTTCTGAGACAAAATCCACGTTTACACTGTTAATTCAAGAATACACGACATTATTTTTGGCTCAGAAATATTTAACAGCAACAGTTTTGACTAAATACATATTTCAACCTTCGATTAAAACCGTTTTCCTCTGAAAACCAGCAACCTCCCTCTGCTCAACACAGAGATTCTCGATGTTCATCGTCACCACAAGAAAACAGGCGTCAATTAATATTTGTTTCCTTCAAAGCAAAAGAACAAATGTGTGTGAGCACGTGGTCAAAATGTACAAAAATACATTTTAACTTCTAACGCGAGTTTAACAATGAGAAAATAAAGTAGAGCCAGACAAGCTGCAGGACACTTTCCTTTTTTATTTAAAAAAAAAAAACAAAAACCAGGCGCTGGTGTCTGCAGAACTAACAAAGGTGTCCGGCTCTGGCTCTCAGGTCACTCCTCAGGGTTTGTTTCAGGCCTGACTGGAAAAGTGTGAAAAGTGAAATAACGTGTGTTCTTACCTGCAGCTGCACTGTGGGGAGGGGGAGGGGCGCAGGCTGGTCTGGGTGGACGGTGTGAGGTCTCCACCAGGCTGCAGAGTCTTTATAGGAAGCCGGGACATGTTCTATATGAGGAGGGGGGGTGGGGCCCTCAGAGCCCTGCAGCACACAAAGCATGCACTGAGCATGTGAAACGCACAGAACCCCACGTCTGCGAGGAATGAGCTCGTCCACGGTCTGTGCTGATTGTGTGTGTGTGCAGAAACATGTGGTCCTCCTCCTCCATACGTTATTTACATGCACTGAAACACCTGAACACATATAAAGTACACACAGCCTGTGCTGCTCACCCTTCTGTCAGAGTTGTTTTATTTAAAAACCTTAATAACGTGGCAGGGTTTAGAAGATGTCTGCATGCTCCTCAGAAAAAGGTTTGAATGTTTGTAAATTGCGGATGTTCACATTAAATTCCCTTGTTTGCAGGAGATGAGACTGAAAGTTCAACTTTGACCTCACTGGAGTTTTTTTTTTGCACCTTTGTCATGCAGATTCTTCAGATTAGCTTTCTTTCTATTTAAATTTCAAGACAACAATGATCTTTAGAAAAGAAGAAGAACTTAACATTCCAGTTCTTCAAAATTGATCAGTTGAGATTTAAACAGCTGCAGTTCATTTGTTTGGATCTCCATGTTTCTTCTCTGGAGCTTTTGAAAAAATAGATGTTTGAGTTTTTTTCTAAGAGATGAAACTTCTTTTCCAGGGTGAGAAGTTCCTGTTGGAAAAGGTTTCACTTCCAGGTGATAACATCTAGTTGCAATTACGACCTTGTTGGGATTAACTTCTCACCCGTGGAAGCTACTGGGTGCTCCTTGAAACTAGCTTCCTTAAAGTTGTGCAGAGCGGTCACAGCTGCAGGTTTTCATCCTGTGAATTGACCTGTATGCTGTAGTTGTGCTGCAGCCCCCCTCCCCCCCCTCCTCCCATTACATGTTCCCCCTGGTGTCATCTTCCACCCCGGACATCACCACATGTGGAGTAACATAATGGTTAACTGATTTTAACTATGTGTTTACTGTACAGTATGTATAGGACGCCACACTCTCCCTCAAATAGTTCAGGAACGCAGGACAGCCAGCACAATGGAATGTCTCCCTATATACAGCAAGAGACATTTAGACATTTAGACAGATGTAAGTGTGGACGTTTGCTTGGGTCCAATGTTAAGATCGCTTCCTGTTGTGATGCACTCTGGGTATTAAAGGGAACAGAAGGGAACTGTTACGTTTATGTATTTGATTTTATCTCTGGAGGGACGATGTCTCGTTTTTCTTATCGTCAAGACCTCAAGAACTATAACGCTCAATGTGATGAAAACATTTACAATCTCTCATCAGCTGGGAAACGGGAATCTGCTGAGGATGATCGTGATACACAATCAAAAGCTCCAGAACAGCGAAGTCGACTTTGTGGTGTGATTCTGTCTTTTTCGTTGTTGCTGTTTTTGTCGTCCATTGTTTCCGAGCTCAGGAATGAACCTTTTTAGGCTTTTCTGGCTGATTGGAGCCTTAACAATTAGTTCAAAAACCAAAAGATTTTTTTGGGTTGATCATATTAACATTAGATTCTTAAATGGAATAAATAGAATATCTGCAGAGATACAAATCTTTATATTCAGATTTCATCTTGAAATGGGAGGTTTGTATTCAACTGAAACCATTGTATCCTGCATTGGACTTTAACCTCAAGTTATACTTGACCTATATTTGGACACACACACACACACACACAGGAGACATCACACGGTGCTGAATACATCACTTAACTACACAACAGCAACAAATGTCATGAAATAACGTCCTCAGTCTTCAGCTGGTGAAACCAATGAGCGTCATATTTGACCAAGTTTCTCAGAGTGAAGAATTTACAGCAGAGGAATACCTCAGCTGGAAAAGTACTTTTTATGTATTGATGTCTGTCATGATGTGGTACTGTCCTCTACTGGTACTACACCACCACAACACCCAGGGTTCTCCAAAGGTTGACTTATTTTTGTCCAAATATTTAAATTATTATTTTAACATGTTTGTTGTTTCTCTTCCTGTTTATGTTTAAGCACACACTTTTACAGTGAAAGGCAGCAGAGGAAGAATGACAACGCTTTATGTTAAACAACTGCTGCAATGTAATGGAGAGAATAAGATGCAGTGGGATAAAAGACAATATAACCGTCTGAAATGTAGTTAAATCTGAGTATTAAGTAGATTTACATTACACAAAGCTCATGTACTCAAAATACTCAGGAGACAAAGTGTTTAAAATGGACACCCATCCTCCTCCTGACCTAAGTGACAATCGCAGGTTTCAGTGACCAGCGTGGGAAGGGCAACTTCTATTTCCCTCCCTTAAGTTTTTCATCATTCAACAAAGTAACGGACAAAGTGACACCAGGATGACATTTTGAAAATTTTTATTCAAGAACATTTAGATCAACCATGAAGCCAGAAAAATCTTTCTTCTCTCCTAACAGAAACATAACTTAACAGAATGTTTTAAACCAAATGACCAGGTTCACATTATACAAGTATTGGGAATATATCAACACCATTCACCCAATAACAGTATTTTTCTGTGGCATTTCCACTGACTACATCTAATGTCGACATACAGTGTTTCAAAACATTTGGTAAGCAATCGTTTGTATTAGTTTAACATTAAAATACAAGGGGACAAAAGGGTGAAATTCCTGTTCTCCCCTGAATTTTAACAATATTCATTAGCTGCCTCATAATGTTTAAAATTTGAAGTAAAATCCAACTGGGAAGATATCTATCAGTCAGCAGTTCAAAATAATAATAATAAAAAAAAATATCAGGATTAGACAAACTAAAATGCCACGTCTACAAGATATGGACGGTTATCATCTTTAAATGGATATGAGTGTGACAACAAAGTTCTTATTACATCAAGTGCAAGCCAAAAAAAAAAAAAAAAAAACTATAAATGACATTTGTAATATAAAACTTGGTAAAAAATACTCATTTAAAACTGTACAATCACCAAGTACACAGAGTGAGCATATCAACCGTTCTTCATTTGGCCTCGGTCGCTTCAGCCTTTGGCTCCTGCAGGGACAGAACATAAAACAGAGTTGTATGCGGTGCTCGCTTTGACATGAAATTATGTCTTTTAAAAATAATAAATAAATAAAACAGGTCAGTTTTCTGAGCCCTGAACTTAAATAGCTCAGACAATGACAGCTTGTACTGAAGAATAAGTGCACTGAGAACTTTATATTTATACATCTTAGAATAAAGTCTTAACAGTTCAAACAAACTTTAATTGGCAGGTTTCAGCAAGTTAACTTTAACTCCTCAAGACCATAAGGAATGAAATTTACGACTAACGTCAAGTGCGACTGATATGAAGGAACATCAGAGCCCAATAATTACTTAGACATCCCACAATTAGAAATCCCACAAGGGGAAGTAGTCTAGTAGAGAATTACCAAAGTAATATTTTTACCCTTTAAGATCTTTATCGGCCTAAATTTCAAATGATCAGATTCACTATTTATTTGACGCTGTGGAAAACCTGAATTAACAGTTTTCATCACTAACCACGAGTTTTTGTCAACAGCCTTTAAACTTTTAAGCTCTCAAAGAGTAAATATGTTTAAAATAATCATATTTTCAACCTGTAAGAGTCAGAGTTTTTCTGCATTACCAAAACATTGGAAGAAATGACTAACTGAGGTAAAATAAACATATATGTATATTTTAATATTTAAACATATGGTGTCACAACAGCTTTCTCTCCTGAAGAAACAAACCTCAGCCTTGGGGTTCCCGTTCTCAGCTGGCTTGGCCTTCTTTGCTTTCGGTCCCTTCTGTAAAATAACATGGAAATTGATTACTTATAGCTCGTGCTCAATCATCACATGATGAAAACATCCTTCAAAGGTCTCTCTGTGGAAATCTGCAAGTGATTTCAGTTTCTTACTTTTGCCAGAGTTTTTTTCTTCTCCACTGGTGCAAGTGTATTTTTCTGTAAAACAAGGAGAAATTACAAATGGGTTAATATTCAGCTCTGTACTGCAGCCAACATCGTGATATTTTAAATAAATTGATGCAAAATCGGGGAAAAAAGCATGTGCAATACAAACATGCAGAATCATCAGAGGGCAGCATTCAGTGGTTTGCTGGTGACTCTCAGTAAACTTACCGAGGCCAGACGTGAAGAACATCTTCTTTGCTGAAATAGAAACAAAAACTTAAATTAATAAAATGTATGTTATTTCCTTTTTTGGACCCTGTTCAGACCTGAGAGATCAGAGCACAAGTGGACAGCCCCGGGTTTGTCGGTTCAAGTAATGATGTTGTTTTTAACAAGTCGGGGCTGACAGAATCAACATGCATGACTTTATAATGAGTTTATTTACTTATTAAAAAAAATAGAAAACCAATATGTGGCGGTCGGGGTTAAAACTGTGGCCACAAACAGTTGACTGTAATATTTGAGATTACTTGTGAAAAAGCTGTGGTTAAGATGACGTCAGCTGAGTGGGCGGTCGTTCATATCTGATCCAGGACACGTTCCATGTGTCTCAGATCACCTCAGTGTGGACTGAGTGATCCGATTTAAAATGTGTCTTTCCCGGATTACAGGGGACGGGTGTTAATACCAAGTCTGACCAGGGTCTTTAACATAAGAGCTTAACTGAAAATATAAATAAAATACAGGGAAACACAGAGGTACAATGTGGGACAGCAGCCAGAATGACTTAGCTTATATCACCAAATAATATAACATCTTTGTATGACAGTCGTGCATCAAAGTAATAATATATATATATAAAAAAACAAGTTATTTCATCCATACCTCTATTGGCACACTTTGCTGAAAAGACAAGGGACAAAAATTAGAATCAAATAAAAAAATCTGCACAATCTGTAAAATATCAACAAAAGCAGAGCATCATGTTTATCTCCATCAGACCCGGCGCCGCTCGGTTTGTCTGTGGGTGTGACGCCGCGGGGCGGACACGCGGGACACAAAGGCCCGGAGACAAATTGAGACATGTCCGCCTGTCCTGTTTTTGAAGTTGACAAAGAACTTCCCGCGCATATT